GTCAGAAGTATATTGACATGTCAAGAGTCACACCTTCCCATCAGTGTAGAAACTCCTCCAACCTTCATTATCTTTATTTGTTATGTAATTATGATATTCTCATTGACACTCTCGATTGGATTTCAGTGGCAATGTTCTTCACAAGGAAATTGATTGGCTTCAATCATGCTCCCTTCACTTTTGGAGTTGCACTTAAAAGAGTTATCAACTTGAAAACATTTATCCGTCTCTTCAGTATGTCAATTTTACTTCACTTTTAAGTTCCAGATATTGGTGATAATGATTTTCTTTCTGAGCTGCTATGTGATTGTTCAATCTTAATTGTGACATCTCTCGTATTGAACTTAGCCGAAACCAAATACATGACCAAATATCTAAAATATTACCAAATCTTTCAAGCATTAAATCGTTGGTTTTATCTCACGATGATCTCAATGGACACATTCCAGATTGGTTTGGGCAACTTGAATAACTACGAGAACTTGATCTTTCTTATAATTTATTTTCCAGTTCAATTCCCACGAGTTTTCGAAATTTATCATCCTTGATTATATTGAATCTCAAGTCAAATCACTAGAATGTAAATCTTCCAAAAAAAATCTCAGGCAATTCTTCAACTTGATCGTATGCTCGTTAGCAAAAGCATAGTAGGAACACTCATTATTCTCTATCAGCTACGTTTTGCTTTCTGATTTTTTAAGTTGTAATGCCCAAGTCAATAAATTTATCTTCAACTTTCGGTTAAAATAAATTTGGAAAATATTACACTCATTATATGAGATAAATAAGAGAATTTTTTTCTCATGGACTTACAACTTAGAGGAGAAATGGGAGAGAACAGTGAGAGAAAAAAATGTAGAGTGGATCCTATCTTTGATTTATGAGTGCATTAGAGAAAAAATTTATCATGTAATATGAGAGTAATATTTCCCAATAAATTATTCATTATATAATCATAATATAATCAATTACACAATGTGAATGTCTTCTTTTTAAATGTCTCTAAACAGCGATCCTTTGCAATTTTTAAAAGGGAAAAGGTGTGGGAAAGAAACACAAGCTCGTAGATTCACTGTGAAATGCAGTTTTATGATAGCCCACACAAGTAAATTGCTAAATTATTGAATTAACCAGGGAATTAAGCATGGATTTCAAGATAATTATGTGATAACTATGGATGAAAATCCAATTATGCTAAACAATTCATTTATAATTATGTTTAAGAAGAATTAATTAGATAAAAAATTTAATTAATGAGATGAAATTACTTTTAAGATAAAAGTGAAATTTCTGTAATTTTCGGTAAATACAGTAAATTTTACAATTACCAAAAAAATTAGATGAGATAAATATCTCATGAAATTATTAAATGCTAAAATCATTATAGATGAGTAAATTCGTGGGTTATGAGTTATCACACACATATAGAAAAAATATCGAGTCATGGCTAGAAATGAGTAAGAAAGTAAAGTTAAAACATGAAGTTACTATGTTTAATGGTGTAACGAATGTCTAGGAACACCGATCAAAATGTTATTTTTCATCAAGTTTTTTACTTAAATGACACGCGAGCAGTGTTATTTTTCAATCTGTCACGGGGACAAGTTCGCTACCCGGTGTAGTGAACTCGATTTGCTGACGTGTCACATTTTTAGTGGATAACAAGTACCAAGTTAAAAAAAAAAATAAGTATAGAGTTCGCTACATTGGGTAGCGAACTTGGTGTCCACTAAAAATGTGACACGTCAGCAAACCGAGTTCGCTACATCGGGTAACAAACTTACCCCTGTGACAGATTGAGAAATAACACTATTCTAGACATTTAAATAAAAAAACTTGATAAATAGTGACAATTTGTCACTGTTCCGAATGTCTACCTGTAAGTGACTAAAGAAAATAAGAAAGAGACACAAATCAGCCATTTTCCCTTCCTCCTTCGTGCAACCCATCAACCATGAGAGGAAAAAGAGTCTTGAGTGAAAAACTTCAAAAAAAATCATATCTTGAGTTCTAGGCCTCCAAATCAAGTGCTTCCAAAGCCTAATTTGAAAGAAATTTCGCAAGGAATCCATTGGTACCAACATTTTGGAGTGGGGTTCACGGTAAAGATATTTCTTCTTCTCCAAAGATTTTGGGTTTCTTGAGGAAAAATGGGAGTTTGAGTCCTTAGGAGCTTAAAATAAGTTTTCCCCTCCATTGTTGAGTCCATTGTGGTAAGAAATCACCTCCCTTTTCTTGTTTTCATAAATTTTTTAGAATTCTAGATTTTCATAAATGGTGAATTCAAAACTTAAATGGTATGATGAGTTAGAGGTTGATTTAAATGAATGTTCCTTTGCAAAGTATGCTTAGGATTGCTTCTTGATAAGGAAAAACCGATGAGCTCACCATTTAGAATTTTAGACCACCTTGAGATTTTAGCCATGAAAAAGTATTAAGTCTTATATTGAGGTTTAAAATGAGTTTGATGATGGAAATTATATGTTAATATGTGTTGAAATTGTGCCTTGAGTTATTTCAAATAATGGTGAACATATCCTAGGTGTCATTATGTTTAATGAATCTATTTGGTTGGTTATTGAGTGCATAAGAATATGAAAATAGCTTAAGACACCCTTTAGGAAATATGTATGGAAAAATGGTGTAGAGATGTATTTGAGTGTCAATTGGGTAATGGATGTGGCCTAACGACTAAGCCAATGAAGTTAGACTAATTAATTAGCCAATTGAACCATGAGAACATAATGGACCCTTTGCATGAAGGTTTTGGCCATTGAAGGGGAAAATGAGATGTAAATGTGTTTGAGTGTTGTGTAAATGACGTTTCTGATATATGGGTTATGTTGAAGTAATGAGACTAACTAATGAGTCATTTGAACTATGAAAACCTTTGGTGAACCTTTAGGTTACCATTTAGGCCTTGTCTTGAAGGATAAGTGTTTGAAGTTGTGTAATGCGGCATTGGTACTAATTACTAGTCATTGGATAATTTGGGGTTAAATGAACTAGTTAATAACCAATGATAAGCATGAAAAATTGATGGAAACCCTTAGAGTATGGTTTGACCATACAAGGGAAAAACATGTTGAAATTGTGATTGTTATGGTTTGAGTGACGAGGAATGCCTTTTGCACATAGTATAGGTAAATAAACTAAATTATTGATCATTTGAAGCTTGATATATGTATGATGCCCTTGTGCTATGTTTCGGCCTACATAGGGTAATAATGGATGGAAGCTTGTAATAATGGTAATTGATACCTAGGAGGTATTTTTGTATCATCCCAATTGTAAATAAGTGTGTTGAACCAAGTTAGTGGCTTGGTCTAGTAAGAAATGGCATTATGTGATCCTCTTTGTTAATTATAAAATAATTAGCTATAACATGTGTTTGGCATGTATTGGCATGAAAATGTGTTAAGGGATGTTAGAACATGAATGATATAGTATTAAACCAATTTGAATGTCATATACAAAAATTTAAGGAATCATTAAAGTTTTGAAGCTTTGTATGTAACACTTGAAATATGACACATATAGGAATGATTGGTGTTGATTCCTAATCTAGGTTTGAGCCTAGGAATATTGAATTGGAAGATCAAGTTGTATGTTCCAAAGAGGATTACAAGTAAGCCTTGTAAGCTTGTGGTTTGAACCTTCTCTTCCCTTTTATGTTCCACCATGGTCCAATAGGGCTATGGTATGGATAATTGTGTGATTGAATGTTAGATACCTAGTATAGGTGCATTCATGTAGACAAGTATGTAAGATGATATGATATGATTGTATATGATAATTGTGTGATTGAATGTTAGATATTTAGTATATGGTATGGATATGTTTGCTTTGTGGTTCATAACCATTAAACATTTGCATGCCTATGCTTTCATTGAGAGACTCAAGCCTCGAGAGTATTTCATACGGAGGGACCTAAGCCTCCATAAGGGACTCAAGCCTCAAGTGCACGAAATCCTTAGGGACACGAGCCTTTGGATTATCATGTGGGAATTTTTGGGGGGACCGAAATTCTGTTTAGACTATCCACCGGAGGATCCAAGCTCCTAGAAGTCACGTGTGTATGATGATATGTATATATGATGCTTTGCTATGTTTTGTATCTGACCTCTCATGCAGGAAGTGGACTCATGGGTGGAGACTACTCCATAAACCCTAAATTTATTGAGATAGTAATCTCACCCTGTTAGGGAAATGTTTCAAGTATGTCAGCTGCAGGAGAGCCCTCTCAGGGCAAGAGGCCTGTTCAGGTTAGAGGATCCAGATGGATTAGAGATGAAGTAATCTCTTTTTGGGATTGTACATATATTTTTTTGGGTCATGATGTATGACCACCCACTATTGTATATGGCCCGTATTATTTGAGATACTTGCTCATACATGGTGTATGTATATTTTGGCAGTTCAGGCATATATGTATGTATTTATTCAGTGAGATGCATTTATTAGTTGCATGTATAATTAAATATATTGTTAAGTAAAGAAGATGTGTAGTGGCACAAAGCCAATAGTTGATTGAATCCATGGACGGGTTCTAGGTCCATTGAATGGGCTATCAATTATATCCATATGTGCTGGACTTTTTTGATTGACAAAGATTAAGTATAAGAGTTGCATTTAATTCCTAGATTGTCTAGTTTATAGCGAAAATGATGTATGTGTGTGACTCTGTCGGGGTTGGTATGGGTTATCATACGTTGATAGTCTTTGATTGTTGTGCAGGTATGGAATGTACAGTCAGTAATATTACGGAAAAGTTTTGTGCAATGCGATACATCAAGAAAATGAAAATGAAAAATTTAATTGACAAAGTTACATAGATTAACACTGAACTTTAAAGTAAGTCTTCCACTTAAGCATTTAAATTATGTTCCACTCAAGACGGGAGATGTAGCAAGTTTCATGTTTAGAAGCCCAAGAATGTAATGTATACACTAAGCCAAACCGTCTAATATAGTATGAAATGCATGGCATTGTTTCTCTCTTGGTATCATAATAAACTACGGGTTTAGAATATAGGCCATCCGACGAAAAGAACAAAAAAAACCACAAAATAAATAAAGAAAATCAGTAGTGCTGCAAAAGCTAGCTGTAAGGAAAAAGAATGAAATATAAATAATAAGATGACGATATCACATTGCTCGTGATTTTATGATGTCAAAGCTCATCTCACTAGGATCTGTTGCTTGCAACTCAACTTGAATGCCATCAAGTTCCCTCTTGAATCTGTCCTTGGAACTGGCATACACCATCTTTTGTCTGACTCTTGATGTATCTGGAGACCTAAATATGAGAAATAAGAAGTAAAGATAAATATATGATACCAAGAGTTATGTGCATCCTGTGATTTTTGCATATAGCTAAAACAAACTATGATTTTACCAAGTATGCGTACAAGAATTGAGGAATTCGAAATTACCATGCAATGAAGAAAATCTTGCTCTTCTGTATGTTCTCATTAGTGATGAAATCAAAATCAAAGACAGCATAACGGCACTCATTAGGAGGCAGAGATGCAGTAAAGTCCTCATAGGTTTCTTCTGGGCTTCCAAGTTTCTCCACTACCACTTCTTGGTTGTCAATCTTAAACACAATGAAACGGTAGTTCCTCTTTGCCTTTAGTTCAAGAAACTTTAATTTACAATCATCAGCAACAGCCATTCCAGATACCGCGTTGGCCTAACACAACACATTTTTGGAAAACAACAGAATCACATAAGCATGAGTTCATTATGAAAAATGACTACAATGTCATAAAGTGTTTGCCAATATTATACAGAAATGAAGTCCCAAAATCAGAAAATTCTCTAAGCAGATTTAGCAATTTCAATAATTAAATTAGATACATCCATTGGTTTTATAAACTTAGAAATAACAACATTTCTGCCACTATATGACGCATTTTATCAAATTGTTCTCGTTGACCTTGTAGACAGATAGGCATCAGAGATTTCAAATATATGCTCTTAGATACAAAATGAATGTTTCTGCATTAAAAGGGATGTTCAGTGTAATTTGCAAACTGTTCTATCTCGCCTCCCATTTTCTTATTCAATTTTTTTTCCCTGTTTTGGCTTCTTATGCATCAAAAGGCATAGTCACATTGCAAAACCTATTGATAATTTGAGGTAGAGGGTGATAGAGACAAAGAGAGAACGTACCATGTTGTAGCGATGATAGAGAAAGCCTATGGAGAAATGAAAATGAAAACAATTGAGAAAGCAACAGAGAAATGAGAGACAGAGGAAGAGATCCTTATTTTGGGGATGCAATGAGAGCTCCGAGACAAAAACGGAGAGCTAAGAGAATTTTGAGGAAGGAAACAAAGGTTGAAATCACTCAGAAATTTGATGGGTGATAATGTCCACTAAGGAAGAACATAATATGTTATACCCTTGATTTGCATGTGCACGTGCAGGTGCTAAACATTGTTTTAATTATTAATTCTAGCCAAGGAGAAATAACATGTGCTCATAAATCAGTTAATAGTAAAGTACTTTGCATACAGATTTTAGTTCATTTTAGAGATTTGTGAAAATCAATTATTATTTTCATTTTATCAAATAAAATGCAATTTAGATTTTCTTTTTCCAGTTAACAAACTTTGTTAAAATATTGGTGAAATAGACATATCAAAATTCATGTATGTCTTTTTTTTTTTTCCTTTCCAAATAGTTTGTTTGTCACCATATCCTACATACCTACTATCTTCCCTTCTATCAGAATAGGAGCACATTTTTTGTCTTACAGGAAGAGTTTTAAAATTTCTCGTTATAGGAGATAAAATTATTTTCTATATACACATAAAAATATATAGGATTTATGTGAGACCATATAAAAAAATAGAGAAAAATTTCATGAAAAAAGAGCTTAAAAAAAGAAGTTAAAAGCTGTTTGAAAATTACATGAAAATTTTAACTTAAAATTTACTTAAAAGCACATATTTCAATAAAATTATCTCTTTCTCTATATTTATCATTCTTCATTTTAAAAAAAAAACACACAATTCAAGAAAAACATATAAGAGCTTAAAAAAAAGCTCCTCCTAGGAGCTTTTAATTTTCAGCTTTTTTCTTCATTATAGAAAAAAGAGTTTTTCATTATAAGAGCTTTTCCCAAAACCTGTTTGACCTAGCTTATGCTTATAAGTAGCTTCTAGCTTAAAAAAGAGAGGATCCAAACAGGCACTAAGTGATCATCACATTAAAAATTTTATAAATTATATCTCTAACAATATCAAAACGCAAAAAAGTGTGCGAATATTATTACCGTTTCTGTTACATACAGACGTGAATTTAAACCTACAAAATTGGGAAACCATGCCTACCAGACATGATACATAACCACCAGATCATCCCCAAGACCATCCCAGCTTGCATGTTTGTAACCCCGGCAATGGACTTATTCCTTCAGCTTCCACTGATGCTATAAATAATGGAACAAACCGTTGTCAGACATTATAGTTATGAGCACCGTTCACATCAACAGAATGCATAGTAACAAACATCAGAAAAAACTAATGGTAGAAGGCACCTAAATAGGAGAATAACAAAGACATCACTCGGGATTAAAGGCAATCGAGACCATAAATCATTTGAAAGAAATTAGACCCAATGCAAATAATATGAACTTGGAATTTATTTTCTGCACGAGAGGAACCAGTTACTGAGAGAAAACTTATACCCCATCCCCATGTTTGAACATGTGCCTAAAGTTCAAACATTTAACAATCTGGGACAGGTCCCCTTTGTTACAACTATGTCCGTCAATGGACGAAACCTAAAACAACAACCTACAACAGCAACGATGAACAATTGCACAGATCACAAGTTGTTATATCAACACAAGCAAGGCAGCTGTATTATCCATTTCTACCACTATAAAGCCTATGATTAAACCTTTTCCCTAATATTCTATAGTTGAAGAAAAGACTCTTATTAGCATCCGTGTAGATGCTAATTTTGCAAAATCGATGCAATTTATATCCCATGTGGAAGACTCAAGCACAACCTAAAATATTAACAACATCTAACTTAACCAACTCAATTATCTATTTCAAGATGTATCAGGACTTAAAAAATAGGTATATATTTTAGAACCAGGATACGACATTCCAATGTATTTCTACTTTTGGAGCAGATTAAACATTTCCTAGCTAGAAAAGGAACCAAACATAGTGCATCTATACTCCTAGGGGCTTTTGGCAAAGTTTTATGTTTGACTGCAGACTGAATGCAAGTAACTGCAGCTCAACAGCCACAAGAAAGGGATTGGCAGCAGTGAAATTTTTTGAGAACTACATGTCATAGATGATATACAAATAATATAAAAACAAAAAATGAAAAGGGAGAATTAGATCAGGTTTCTTGTAGAAAGACTTACTTTCGTTGATAGGCCCATCCATTTGCAGCAACCACCTAAGGAATACAAATTGTAAGAAAAAATTGTACTTGGCATACAATGTTATTAGGATAATGAATCAAAATCATCCACATTGTTACAAAGACTCCAGAAAAATATGCCAGAATGACAATATGCAATATCCAAATAATAGATAATAATACCATTGGATCCATTCCATGGCCATTTCGAGGGCAGTTATTGCTGAAGTGTCCATATGCATAACAGAATAAGCACTTAGCAAACCTTCCTCCCCCTGCTTACCAATGAAAATTTTTGAATCATGAGACACCAGATGAAAAGAACACAAAGTGAATACCATTACAGGTCTGTGAAGATTATTTTGTAATAAAGGACAAACTTATGGCCCCTCGCGGAGGAATTAAGTACCCTCTTCTGCCAGTTCAACAAATGATCACAAGTGGCAGTGTGTCCAGAATTACCAAAAGGAGTAATATACTAGTATAGTCACCAAAAATCTATTTCAAAAGAGTTGCAGTATTTATATGCTTTTAATTTTATAAAAGGATAAAGTTCTATTCGTGAGAAGGAAAGATTATAATATAACCACAGGATAAGAAATTGTCCTTAACATTCTGAGAATGAACAAAAGCCAACAAATAACAAATAACAAAAAAAATTAAAAAAAAATATATCAGAATAATAAATCCCTTGTGGGTGAGTCTTGAAGCATCGATAAGATTGCTCCTTACGGTCACAAGTTCGAATCTAGGAAACAGCCTCTTTGCCAAAAAAATACAAGGAAAAAGCTACATACAATGCTTGTGAAGGGAAAATTTAATGTCCAAAAACAATTTAGACAAACGGATGACATAAAAGAAACCTTTCCTACAATACTTAAAATGTAAAATTACACCAAGGTTGGGAGAGAAAATAGAAAATTAACATATATTTATCTTTCTAAAAAAAGAGTGCACTGAAATACATACACATACATGCAGGCATGCATGCATCTCTCAATTTATATATTGTATATTATCCATATTGCTCCTAATAGATAACATCAAAACCCTATATCAACCTCTGAAACAAGTAATAATCCTAGATGGCTTAAATGCAAAATTCCCATATCTATCTCTCTCATAATCAAAAATTTTGGAATAATATACCAACAAAGTCAAAATATGACCAAAACAAGAGGCATACAATTTATACAAAAAACACTTTCCTAAAAGAAACAACCAAAACTAAAGTCAAGTGAGCTTTTATTGCCACGATAAGTTCTAAACATCATGAATCACTATATATTTACCTCAATGATAAAAAGATTCATTAGAAATAGGGTGCTTGTATGAACTATGAAGCACAAAGAAGAAACAAGACAACAATGGAAGAAACAATAGATTATTGTAGTATTATTTAACTATAAAATCATTATAAAAATTTAAAAAAAAAAAAAAAACTTGAGAATATTATCACCTCTTTCATACAAGTATATTATAAGGCCAAAGATAGAATGCATATTCCCCAGTTACACCAAATCCTAAACATCTTTAATAAGGTATTTATTCTTAGAGAATGGCTAAAAAACTGAGCTAATGGTGCAAACTAAAATTATTTATTACTATGATAAGATATCACCAATTACCAACAATAATAAGTTATTAAAGTTATGAATTAAGTTCAAGAAAGCATATATACTTACGACTCAGATTGATGCTACGTAAATTTCAATCAAAAACTGTAAAATTTAACAATTTTCATGCAACATAAAACTTTGATAAGGTTCTCATATTCAAAAAGAAAATATCAGCGCTTCATGAGAAGCATAAATTTTTAGCTTACCTGCTTGAGACACTGAGCATTTTCCAAGTGAGTGCCCAATTTCCCCACAAAAGAAGCAAACTTCCTCATCCTTGGAGAGACATTTCAGCCTTGGGCAGTGTTGAAATTTGTGACCAGGCTGTCGGCATGCCTGACATTTCTGGAAACACCAAATTACCATTTATATACTACAATTGGCTAATTAATTCTAACTGTATCAATTTCAAGAGAGAGAAGAGGGGGGGGATCATTCTTTAGGGGAAAAAACCACTCCCCGTTAAACCCAACCAGCGAGAAGCCGACTTAAATACGCTATGTGAGGTGGAGGAAATCCTTGTACTCAGTCTTACCCTTGCATAATTGCAAAGAGACTGTTTCCTGGATTCGAACCCATGACCTTTCAGCTATGAAGGAACAGTTTTACCACTGTTACGGTTCGCCTCCTATTAAAATCATTCTATAGGAACAGCTTAAAATTATTTCAGGCTAGAGCAACATAAAATACAAGTACTGAAACTAAATTCATGAATCCCATTACATACCACAGAACTTTCATCATGCTGTTTAAAGGGAGCTTTAGTGACTGTCAGTCCTGCAGTTCTCCGAACAGGGGTTTTAGCACGTGGCTCAGCATTGCATTTGCCCTGGAAATAAAAAATTACCATATATCCACTACAATGAACTAATTGTAATTGAATATTTGTATCAATCTGAAAGTAAAAAAATAGCATCTTTCCAGGAACTGCTAATGATTATTACTGAAACTAAATCTATTGATCTAGTTACATACCTTAGAACTTTCACCAACCCATTCTAAAGGCACTTTAGTGACTGTGAGTCCTTTAATTCTCTGAACAGGGGTTTCAGCAGTTGGATCAGCATTGTGTTTGTCAGATTCTGACCCTCGTGCACTTTTCCTTTTCTCCTTCCCCTTTTTCTTCATCATCTTCTTCTGTTCTGGATCTATTGGGGTTGCTTTGTCTATTAGGGTTGCTGGGTCTATTGGGGGAACTGGGTCTATTGGGATCATTTGGTCTATTGAGGGTGCTGCTGTAGGGCATATAGATTTCTGAACTGGGATTTCAGGTGGCTTGCCATTGCATTCATTGGGTTCTGCCCATTCACTTTTGAGCACACTCTTCCTTTTCTTCTTCCTCTTTTTCTTTGACTTCTTCTGTTCTGGGTCTGTTGGGATTGAAGGGTTTACTAGGATTGCAGGGTGATTGTCCATTGAGATTGTTGGGTCTATTGAGGGTGCTGCAATACAGCATATAGATGTCTGAAACGGAGTTTCAGGCGGTTCAGTATTCTGAACATTGTTTTCTTCCCCACCTAGCGCACTCTTCCTCCTCTTCTTTCTCTTCATCTTCTGTTCAGTGTCTATTGGGATTGCGGGATCTACTGGGATAGTTTGACCAATTAGTGGTGCTGGTTTAGGGCATACTAAGAGTGCTGAATCTATTGGGATTGCTGGGTCTACTGGGATTGTTTGGTCTATTGGGATAACTTGGTCTATCAGGGATTCTGGTTTATGGCATATTGGGATTGCTGGGTCTGGTTGGATCTGCAAACGTAATGGGTTATTGGGTTCCTGTGGTTCTTGGGGCTTGAGCACATTCTTCTCTTTCTTCTCCCACTTCCTTTTCTGGGGAGCATCTCTTAGGGGTGTTGGGATAGGTAAAGAGACTTGTTCAGGGTTCTCTACATTAGCTTCAGTTGGTTCTGTTTCTTTTTCCTTCTCATTCTCTAGTTTTGGGTCTACTGCGCAGCATAGTTGATGGTGCTCTGCATTATCAGGTTCCTGTGGTTGGGGCTTGTGCACATTCTTCTTTTTCCTCTCCCACTTCCTTTTCCGGGGAGTATCATTTGGGGGTGTTGGAGCAGGTAAAGAGAGGAGTTCAGGGTGCTCTACATTAGCTTCAGTTGGTTCTTCACCTTTTTTTGGGATTGCCGGTTCATGTTTAGGGCCAGTTTCAATTGATTCTTTCTTTTCTGGGTGTATTCGGGTTGCTGGATCTACAGGGATTGCTGATTCAGGTTTAGTGCAGACTTGAGGGTGCTCTACAATAGCTTCAGTTGGTTCTGCTCCTTTTTCCTTCTTATTATTAAGTTCTTGGTCTACTGGGGAGCATAGTTGAGGGTGCTCTAAATTAATGGGTTCCTGTGGCTCTTGGGGCTTGAGCACATTCTTCTTTTTCTTCTCCCACTTCCTTTTCTTTGGAGTATCTTTTGCTGGTATTGGATCGGATAAAGAGAGGAGTTCAGGGTGTTCTACATTAGCTTCAGTTGCTTCTGTTCCTTTTTCCTCATTATTCTTCAGTTCTGGGTCTACTTGGGAGAATAGCTGATGGTTCTCTGCATTATAGGGTTCCTTTGGTTCTGGTTCTGGTTCAGCCCCTTGGGGCTTGAGCACATTCTTCTTTTTCTTTTCCCACTTCCGTTTCTGGGGAGTATCTTGTGTGGGTGTTGGAGCAGGTACAGAGAGTAGTTCAGGATGCTCTACATTAGCGTCACGTGATTCTTTTCTCTTTCCCATCATAATCTGGGGTTCTAGAAGTTTATCTGCCACTAGGGGCAGAAGAACATTATTCCTTTCCTGGGGTGTTGGATCAGGCACAGCGAGTACTTGAGGGTGCTGTGCAATAGTTTCATTCGATTGATGTTCTAACACTTTATCCTTTTCCGAAACTATTGGAATTGCAAGTGGAAGTTCATGTTTATGACATACCTGAGGCAGTTCAATTGAATGTGCACCCTTTTCCTTGTTTTTCTTCTTTCTCCTCTTCATCTTACTACTCTGTTCCGGAGAAGCAAACGCTTCATCGGGATTCTCCTCTCTGCGCCTCTTCCCATCAGAAAACTCGCTCTCCATCTTCCTCGATTGATATGATGAATTCAAAATCTGTGGAGGCCACACACAAAACTTGCCATGCCAGTGGTTGCGACGAAGCTACTGAACTGAATCAACTCAGGGAAATTAGGGTTTATGAGCGTTTTTTTTCACTAGTTACAATTACAAGTTTTTTTTTTTTTTTTAATACAAACAATTACAAGTTACAAGCCCATAGATAGTGGTTGCTATAATTTCTTCATTTTATTAATATTGAGGAATTTTTACAACTTATTACCATCGAATTTTAGTAGTTAATTTCAGTCAATTTAATAATTATAATTTATTAAAAATTAATAATTAATTAAAAAATATAACCCAATAAATTATAATCGTTAATTAACAGAAATCAATCATTAAAATTTAGTTGTAAGAAGTTAGTAAAACTTTTTTGTGATAAATGAATCTCTTCTCACTAATATTAATATAAATTAAATTTTCGTTCATGTACTGAACCTGTAAGTATTTATGTCTTTTTTTGAACTCATGAATTTAGCGTGTTTATGGGCTTTTTTTTATCATTGTGTTCCTAATTAAATTAAAAAATATCACTTTGCCCTTATTTTTAAATTATTTAAAAATATGACATTTTTTGAAAATATAAAATTAATATGTCTCTGTTTGACCGTTGATTGTCCTTCATACTCGAGCATGTGACCAATATACTCGAGCAAATTAAATCTCATAAGTTTATGCTCGAGTATGGCGTAATATACTTGAGTATATGGTCTTCTACTTGAGTATATGGTGACAAATCCCTTATAAGAATTTGCCAACACGTAATTCTCGAAAAGTTATGTAGAATAAAAAAAAAAATACCTCATTAAAACACTCGAGTCAAAAGTTATGGCCTTCCGAAGTTTTATCATTAAATTTTTAAATTTTTGTAATGCAAATAGGTTTTGTGATACACACAAAGCTCCTCCTCATATCACTCAAGCCAAGTCAAATATTATGAGTATATGACTATAGAAACTTGTATGATCCAAAAAATCTCGTGGAAAAAAATTCAACCTAAAATTTCAGAATACCATAACTTTTTGATTTGGGTGTTCGAATAAGATGTTTTTTTATTCCACATAACTTTTTTAGAGCTACACATTGCAAATTTTTGAAGGATTATTAGATAGTATTGAAAAGTGAAAATTTAAATAACATCATTCGCAAGATAAAATATGTCAAACGGGGCACATATAAACATTTTTTGGACCAAATTCCCTACGAAATTTTACGGTAAAATTTTCAAAATTTTGTTATGCAAATAGGTTTTGTAATACCCAAAAAGCTCCTCTTTAGATCATCCGAGTCAAGTCCAATATTTTATGACTATAGAAACTTGTTAATCCAAAAAATTTCATGGAAAAAAAATTTATCCTTAAAACTTTATAAAGTCATAACTTTTGACTCAGGTGTCCAAGTCAGATGCTTCTTTTTTATTCCATATAACTTTTTGATAGCTATAAGTTGGCAATTCACGTAGGGGATTTGGTTACCATTTACTCGAGTACAGGACCTATATACTCAAGTATATGGTGTCATACTCGAGTATCAGGGTCTGTACTCGAGTAAATGTTAATAAAAGCCCAAATGACGAACAATATTCGAGTATCAAGGTCCTTTACTCGAATATTTACCGTTCTATGCAATATACTCGAGTATAAAGGTCTTGCACTCGAGTATATAACTCGGTTAACGATCAAACAGAGGTAGATATGTGAAATAGTTTGGAACAGGGGCAAAATGGTTATTTTTAATTGAATTATGGGCACAATGGTCAAAAAGTCATATTTAAGAGCACCAAAAGTTTGTTTGGCACTTTGCAAATTACTTGTCATTCAAGGTCAACAGACCCAACCCGACCGGTTCAATCGATTGATCTGTAAATCAGATCCTCAATCGATCTAATTTAGATAATGGACCGATCATACATTTAACCCGATATGAAATCGATGAATAGGTCCAAAACCAATATTAAATTGGCATCAATTTAAAAAAAAATGGTTTTGTAAAATTTTGAGCAAAAAACTTGAAAAATATCACAAATAACATCCAAGCCTAGATTATATGTATTATGATGAATAGCACTTACTATTAAACCAATTTTAATTATTAGCTATAATTCTTCTAATTTTATATTTGTTTATTTTATTATATATATTTGTTTATTATATATATTTGTTAAACCAGTAACTATTAATTCAGTACCTCAACAGAGTCAATTACTGGTCTGAATTTGATAATAATACTTCTGGAGATAACAGTTTTGTGGTAAATCATTAATAGCCATTGTAGCAACAAAAGTACTTGTAGGAAATAACAGTTTGGCAAAGTACTTGTAGCAACAAAAGTGATCCTCAATAAATCAACAACTAAGACAGTTAGCAAACTAGCAATTGCACCCAAAAAAAAATATTGTTAAATTTTTAGTTTGCTTTTTGAAAGCACCGTAGGATTAATAATAATAAGCAACAGGATGCAATACTTTTAGTTTTCATGTCAATGCTCCAAAATTTTAGGCAACCCAAGACTTGCAGAAGCGATTACATTCATTCTGGAAGAGATTCTGCAGATTGCAACGAATAGTGGGGGCCTAGTATAGAAGAATAAAGAAAATGGCGGGTAGAAACCAACATCCACACAATACATTAAGATTTAACCATCCTCAGATAAAGTTCACAACTTTAGGTCCCTTCTTCTTTGGTTTTACATGGCCATCTTTTGACTTTGAGGACTTGTTCTTGTCGCCACTATTTATGTCTTCTGTCATGAAGTCATCCTCACTATCGTCTCCGCTTATAAATTTGGTAACCTGACCCCTGGGCCTCTCTTCATTTCTTATTGCTGACAACAAAGAATGGAGATATCAGCCATATTTAATATAAGCACCTTTCTTTTCGAAGACTATAAATACTTAGCAATCCAATATATCAGAATAAATCAGAACAGAATGCAATTGAATTGGAGATATACAGAAAGAGCTCAGGCTGATGCAAAAGAGACCACAGATCACCTGCAAGAAGTTACAATTAAAGTACATACTTCACCCCAAAAATTTTAGTTCATTTTCGATTTCTATTATGAACATTCGTTTCTATGAAAAGATTTCAACCTGTGTTTGGCATGGGTTCAAACATATAACAGTAACCCATATTACTCCCCTTTGTTACAACTTACAACAACATCCCTTCACGGTTGAAATCTCAAACAAGGATTTTAACAAAGACATTGATCATTTTGAATAAGAACACTGCACACTTAAACAAGTTAGATAAAATAAATTAAGATCAACGTCCAATAAAATCAAGAAGGTTCGATTATCCATGTCCTCATGACTATCAAGTTTCAAGCCTATAACCACTGACAAATCATTTCCCCCAATGTCCTACATTTAAAGAGTAGATTTTAACATTTGTGATTTGAAATCAAGCATAATCTATCAGTCTGCCACCACCAAACTTGTATAATCTCAAATTTCTCTGATATTAAAAACCCTTATCAAGTTCACTTAGCTACTTCATGATATCCCATGACTCGATAGTACCTATTTTAGAAGCAAAATATTTCAGAGCAAAAATATAACTAATTTTGGAGCAAGTGCAACTGTTCTACTTGCATTTAGTTGACAAAAATGGTTAGAAATTGGATCTAGCTGCAGCTTAATATCAGAAAAACAGGAATAATATCAACCAAAGGTTTAGATAAGCAAATAAAGGAAACATAGATGCCACACAGTCTAAACAAAAATGCAGCACTTGATATCAAAACCAGAAATACACTAGCAGAAAACCAACTAGCTTCTACCAAAAAAGCTTACATCTATCAAAAGGCCCGTTAGCAGCAATGGATCCCATCTTCCCTTTGTCAGGACAATCCTTTGCCAAATGTGTCACACCACCACATATTTTACAGCAACCACCCTAGTGTAAATAAATAGTTGCAACAGATTAGACACGGCTTACAAGGGACAAGTTTTATTGATTCAACTAACATAATTATAATTTTGACAAGGTCCTCCATAAAGGGAAATAATAATACCTTTGGATAAATGCCATGAGCATTTTGAGGGCAGTTTTTACTCAAATGTCCACGTTGATTACAGACAAAGCACTCAGCAAACTTCGTCCCTCCTGCATCACCAATGAAACCTCTATATCATGAGAAAACAAATTAAAGAATTCATAAGCATGCAACCAGAAACAAAATTGAGAAACTGAGATTTTATCAAAGGCAGAACACATAACAGCCCCAACCCAAGAGGTTATTTACAAGCTTAAATAATTGCCAAAAAAGTAATAAGTGTATTAAAAACTAATAAACCAACAACTAGGATATACAATTATTAGAGCTAATCCCATAATTTGCTACAGAACTTCATGCATTTCATTCACAAAAGTAGCTAATCTAACCAGCGACAGAGATATATAATTATACACTAAGCAACAAGATTATAAATTCTGGGAAGAATTGAAGACCATATTTAATAAAAAGATTCAATTTTACTAGAGGACCAAATTAAAAAAGCCATCTCTCCTATTATACAGAAAATGCAAGTGATCTCCCATTATCAGGAGAGGAAATGTTAACTGAAACAAATATCTTATATTTTACATGAAACACATCTTCTTTAAAATGACATCAAGTCTTCGACAGCAATTTTTTTAGTAGTACCAGTTAATATAAGAATAAGAACATAAATGCATAAACACACTCCCAACTAAATCTTTAAGAATAAACATGTAATTCTCAATAAAGAAATTTAAAATTCCATATTAATCTAGACTCTTAAGAAAAAAACAAATAAGTCATGATCCTGAAACCTCATGGCAAGGGTCATGAATGATAGTATCCACAACGCCCTTACCTAGAGAAGAAATGGGTAAAAGTTACTACTTACTACAGAGTGAGCTTTCACTTTGTTTAAAATCATTTGAGCACCGCACCATATGCATTTCTAACAAAGATAAAATGTTTTCATCCCATAATCTTGTTATCAGTGTGCGTGTAGATTAAACAGTAAAAACGTGTCTTTTCAGATATCATATGATCTATGAGAAAGGTCTACAAATTAAATAATAATATCCATTCAATGAGTGTCATGTCACCATTTAATCTCAAGGTAACTTAAAGAACAACTAATCTCTCCTAGAAAAGTTTCACACAAATAGATTCAAAGCCAAATATAAAATCAAATTTAGTAATCTCTAGTATGTACCATTATCTAACCATCATCCGAGTCACGAACCAAATATTCCAAAAGCTTATTCTGTTAGGTGAATGCAGATAAATGGTTTTACATTTTATATTGTGTGTCTAACAAACTGTACGGTGGAAAGTCCCGGAGGATAATTAGAAATCAGTGGTGAACTGCTTTATATAAATTTCAAATTTCAACTAAAAACTCTAAAAATAACAAAATTCATGCTATGACATACCTAACTTATCAGGTTTTAACATTTTCAGGATCAGATATAAACCGAAACACAACATGAAAAGCATAAAAATAAAATAAAATAAATGTATGCATTTTATTAAGAAACCTTCTTGAAGAGGATGAAGACAATTTGAAAGTGAGTGCCCAGTTCCACCACAATTATAGCAATACTTGGCATCGTCGGTGCCATCTTGCACCTCAGGGCAGTTCTTGGCTCTATGACCACGTCGTCTACACCGCAAACATATCTGCAATTACATAATTGCATTATCGTGATTTAGAGAACTGTTTATGATAATTCCAGTGACAAAACAATGTGAGGGGTGTTACCTTGTTCCTTTCCCATTCAGATTTTTGGGGACAGAGCTTAGCAATATGGTCAATGGACTTGCAGATAAAACAGGTGTCACCGGGCTTCATACCAGGAACTCTAAGAGGGTGTTTTCTTGAATTGGTTTTGAACCCTTGTTGTTTGGGCTTCAACACATTCGTTTTCTTCTTTATCTTCTTCTTCTTCTTCTTTTCAGGGTCTTTAGGGGGAGTTGGTTCTGATTTGGGGAACAGTTCAGGGTGCTCTGATTTGAATCGCTTTCGAGCAAGTCGCTGCCGTTGGCTCACCATCTCTAACCAAGGGTTTCTCTTTTCACCACTATGCTTGCGGCGACGCTAACCCACTGGTTTTCTTTTCTATTTTCCTTTATTTATTTATTTTCACTTTTTCAAATCATTAATTTTTTTTTTAACTGGTACCCTAATTTGTCTATATGTAATATTATAACTGTTATTCATTAAAGTTGTTATTATCATGTTTTCTCAAATTTTTTGTTTTTTTTTTCCTGACATTTTATTTCTCTTTTGTAAATCATTTTTTAACTTCTAAAAAATACTTTACTTTCTAAAATTAATTTTCTAAAGTTTTTTTTAAATTAATAGCAAATGAAGTACAATACTTTTTTAATAAACTATTAAAATTCAAATTTTAGTACAAATATTATTTTTAAATAGGAAAAAATAAAAATGTTTTAATAAGGTGTTCTTTAACTATTATTTTTATTTATTTACGAATACTATTGTTTTTTAATCTCACTTCAAGGAGGTTTAATGAAAAAATATTTAACAATTTTATTTAATTAAATTTTAATAGATTTTTATAATAATATATTTCTACTTATTTATACTAATAAATAAACATAAAATATGTTAAATATTTTATATATATTATGGAAAAAACTTAAGTAACAATGAAAAGATTAATTTTATTTCAATTTTAAATGTACCAAAAAAAATTATTTTGTTAGATAGAGTAATAACTTTTTAATTAAATAAATAATAAATGGTGCATTATGAGCTTTGGAAATTAATTATTCTAATTGTCATAGATCTATAAATTTACTTAATCATTGAACAACTTGTCATTAGATATTACTTCAAATATGGACAATCTAAATGAATTATATATTTCATGTGTCACTCCAAGTAGTTATAAGGTAAGAAAGTCTTATTTTTATTTAGTATTCATGGTTGGGATAAAATATTATGACAACCAAATAATGTTACTACCAATGTTACTACCACATCTTAACCGTTGATTTCCGTCAATCAACGGTTATCATTTTTCAAATCAAACTCATTAATGAATTATTAATTTACAATAAATGATAATCGTTGATTGACGGAAATCAACGGTTAAGATATGGTAGTAACATTGATAGTAACATTATTTGGTTGTCACAATATCCTATCCCTTCATGGTTTACTATATAATGTGAGGATTATTGATGAATTGAGTTATATGATCTAAACTTGAATTGGGTTTGAATTGACATAGCAAACGTGATGAGAAATGTTGTGTAGTTGAGAAAAAATAATGAACCTAACCATAGCATCATTTTGAAATTTTGACGAAAGGTTAAAGTGTCGAATTTTGGTATTTTGACACTTGAAATGAAACATTGATGGAATTTGTAACACTCTGTATATATCTGGTAATGTTATCATACTATCGTATTAAGCAGCGCTTAATTAAAAATGTGGAATATCTTTTTCTTTCCAATTATGATGTCCTTATCATTACCAACTTGCTTATTAATCAATTAATAAAACATCGCCTGTATGTAATTGAAATAAAACAGCTAACTGAAATACCTCATAATCATAGATAATAAAAGTGTGGCTCCAGTCACGGAACTACAACAACGTAGACTGGACCATCTAAGAGTTTATAAAACTCCAAATCAAAAGCACTAACATACAGTGTCATGGACAATCTCCATGCTCACTCAAATAAGGCAACATGCCCAACATCAGTCTCAATAACAACATAAACATAAATAGCGGAAAACATAAACAGCATCCATATCCAGTCATGGCAGCAAACATCATACTATCATCAACTAAGCTCTGGCCTCTTGCCACCAGAGGCATCAGTCACCAAACTACCAGAACCTGAAATAAGCATTCCCCAAACGTGGGGTGAGATCTCTAAACAAGAAATCTCAGTAAGACAAGGGGTCCTCAAGGATCTTCCACCCCAAGCTCACTTACATGTGCAATATAAGTTTAAAAGCAGATATCATCATCAGTTCTAAAACAGTGCAATGCAGCAGATAATCATGCCATGTGTGTCAATTCTATTATACTAGTCAGAGAAATGCAAGATTTACATACGCTAAATACCCACACTAGTGCAAGACGCTACTTGCATTCACCCCGGATCACCATGTCGTATGACACTACATACTCAGGTTACCGTCAAGATGAAACAACACATGCATATTAAAAGCCATTACACATAAAGCTAAACAGCATTTCAAATATTCAAAGCATGTAACACAGCATGCATACAACCATACCCCCATGGGACATGGTGGAACCACAACATGGCTAAACCGATGACACGAAAGCTTACCTTGTAAGCTAACTCCAAAAGCCAAGAGTCCACAGCTCAAAGTCAAAACACAGCAGATTCACAATCTGTTATGGATAGAGCTGGCAAAATGGGTCGAGCCCGCCCCGCCAGCCAAACGGGGCGGGGTGGGTTGAGTTTTCTAAACTCGCTGCTCGCCAGCTCGCCCGGGCTGATTTTTTTTTTAAAAAAAAATTTAGTGTAAAATGTGACGGACTTGGCGGGCAGAGATATCTAGCCCACCTTCAATGGCGGGGCGGGCCAGCTCGCTTTTTGGCGGGCTTTTGGCGGGCAGGGGCGGGGCGGGCAGCCCGCTTTGCCACCTCTAGTTATGGACCAATACTATATCAATAATAATGCAACACCAGCCTATAAATTAAAGACAACGCATTTCCTTACGTTTTACGTCTTAAGGCTCCATACCAAGCCATAAATCCTTAATCACAACGATTCTGACTTAGGTCATTAATTACATAAGTTCAACTTCATCAATCTAGGGTCCACAAACCCCCAATAGCCTACTGTACACACAGCACAGCTACTGTTCTACGAAATCCCAGAATATCCGGATATTCCTCGGGACCATATCCGGATATGCCATATCCGGATATCCAGAATCCCATATCCGGATATCACATATCCGGATATTGTTCGGGCACATATCCGGATATTTCACGACAGAATGCAGAAACTGCATTTCGTGAATATATCCTTTCAAGGTTGGGTTTTTACCGTTTTTAAACACCTAAACATGCATTTCTTGGTGTGTTCAACATTACCCAACAACAAGTTATCATCTTTAAGCCTTGACATGCATCAAGCTTTCATTTTTAAGTTCAAAGACTCAAGACCAAAGGTGACAAGGCTTACCAAAACTTAACCAGCCAACAAAAGGTGCTCTTGGAGCTCAAAAGGTCACTCCAAGATTCTGTCTCTCTCTGCACACGAAAATGGTATACCAAGGTGGTCCTTTTACTCAACAAGAAAGCTCCTTTAAGCCTCAAAACCCAATGAGCAAGGAGGTACTCCACCCAAACCCCAACTCAGAGCACAAACAGCCCACAAACAGTGGCCAAACCTCAAGCACAGCACCCTCACACCCTCTCAAGATGTTTCCCAAGTGTTTCCCAAGTGAAAGGATGAAGAAAAATCAAGAAAGATCAAGACTTGGTTCAAGAATGGAAGGAAAGGCCAACAGGGCAGTCACCAAGCAGCTAGTCAGCTCCCTCTCACGTTGGTTTTCTGTTTTCTAGGGCTATGTGCCCTTAAAAATGGGTATTTATAGCCCAAGCCACTTAAACACACAGTATTAACTTTAATTGCTACGCCTAGCATTTTAATCCCAAACTTTGGATTATGAAACTACATAATTTTATGAGATTTATCATATTTTTATTATAATTTTCTGAGCACCTTTCCGGTACGCGCTTTTCAAAGCCAGTACCGGTTTCTAGCACCAGTTCTCATTATCTTGACTTGAAACTCGTTTTACAAGTCCTACATATTATTCTAGTAATTATCATGTACTTACATTAATTTTTCGGGATACTTTTTCGGTACGCATTTATACCGACTAACAGAACCGGTATCTGCATTGTTCTTCCGAAAAGCGACTTTCAGCATTATTACTCACTTACTATAATTATTAAAGCCTCATAATAATTATTAGAGTCAATTATTGAATCATTTCCTATTTTCTCATAATTTATTAATTAAATTCCTTAATTAACGGTGCAGGTTCTTACATTCACCCCACATTTTTAGGATTTTGACCTCAAAATCAGAAACATACCTGGTGGAAACTCGGGGTACTGCAGGAGAAGCTCGTCTTCACGCTCCCAAGTACACTCCTCAGGAGTCCTTCCGGTCCACTGCACTTTGACCATCGGAATGATCTTGCTCCTCAGCTGATTCTCGCCACGATCGAGAATCTTTAGTGGTCCGACGGAAGTCTTTAGGTTCTCCCGAACCTCCACATCATCCGGTTGCACCACATGCGACTGATCTGCTATGTACCTCCGAAGCTGAGACACATGAAACATGTCATGGATGTTAGCCAGGTTCGGAGGCAAGGCAAGCCGGTAGGCAACAGGTCTTACTCTACCAAGAATCTGGTATGGCCCAATAAACCGCGGGCTCAGGTTCCTCACTCCGAGTGCCCGTCCAACACCGGTGACAGGTGAAAGTCTCACAAACACGTCCTCACCCTCACTGAACTCCAGTGGTCGATGCTTGACATCGTAGTAGCTCTTCTGACGATTCTGCGCCTGCTTCAGCTTTTCCCTGATCATCTGGATCTGCAGGGTGGTATCTTGGACAAAGTCCAAGCCAAACAACTCACGATCCCCAACCTCAGACCAGCAGGTAGGTGTACGACACCTCCTACCATAGAGCGCCTCGTAGGGTGCCATGCCCAGGCTAGCATGGAAAGTGTTGTTATACGAAAACTCCACCAATGGAAGGTACCTATCCCATGCCGAGCCCTGCTCCAACGTGCAAGCCCGCAACATGTCCTCCAAGGTCTGGATAGTCCGCTCAGTCTATCCATCAGTCTGAGGGTGATAGGTTGTACTCAGTCTCAACTGCGTACCAAAAGCTCCCTGCAGCGCCTCCCAGAACCGAGATGTGAACTTCGGGTCCCTATCACTAATGATACTCTCGGGCACCCCGTGAAGCCTCACGATCTCGCGAACATAAAGCTTGGCCAACTGATCTGTAGTGAAGCTCACCTTCACTGGAAGAAAATGGGCAGACTTT